TCAGGAAAACTACCCCGCATTTGTTTCAAATTCTTTATCTGTACAATAAGTAGTATGGCAGCATGCAGTTCTTAGGGGCTTCAGGAGGGTAGAGTAAGATAGATGCATACTACTTAAATCAGTACCTACCACCTACGAGGTACTCTGCAAGCTCTACCTAGCACTATTTGTACTAACATTGCCAAATGAAACACACTGAGGAAGCACCTGAAGTACTTAGTGTCTCAGTCATAGGAAATGTGGAAAGTAAAATTTAAAGGTGTCCACCAATTGTGAGGAGAAAGTATAATATGTTTTCTTCCATGTTTTCAATTTGGTATTAAATAATAGATGCAGTTGCTGATGAACATACTTTTCATTTTCTAATTTTCTACTTTTAGTTTTGGCAGGATAAAATGGTAAGCAAGTGACAGGGAATTTCTAATTGGGGATATAAAAGTCATATATCTATGAAGAAAACATCCAGAAACGATGATTCATAAATTTTTGGGGGGTGAGAGAGAGTAAGCAAAACCTACCTTGCTCATGTAAAACATACTTTTTAAATTTTAATTATCTACTTAGAATAGTTACAGATGTTCCCTTCAGAATCCTTTTTGTTTTAACTTATCTAACATATTTGAAGATATGTAGTCAATATAGAAGCATCAGAAACAGACTTTTAAGAAAGGTATGTTTTCCACACATTACTAATACCATTTTACAGTCAAATCAAACATATTTCAGTTGGAAACTATGAATTCCAAATATCCATACTTACAAAATATTCACCTTTCTAAAGTCACCTTTCTAAAGAAGAATGATGTTACAATAATTTGCACACCATGTTTGTAATTTTTAGTTTCCAGATTTCAGACCCCTTTTTTTTATGGATGAGGATTCCATAAGAAGAGGAAAAAATTTCTAAAATGTATTTATCACTGAAGCTAAATTGTTCAGTTGCTCTAGGTCATATTTTTATTGGAAACCTGATAAAGACAAGCATAATTTGTATCATATTTCTGGCACAACAATAAGATTCATTTACATTAGCATAAACTCACCTTAACAGAATGGAAACAAAACCAAAACAAAGTAGGAAGCTTTAACTACATTGAAAACTATAAAATTTTGTTACTTGGTTTCATTTTTCTCTAAAGTTCCAAGCCAGCACTAGGAAAGAAGGTAAGAGTGGATTATGTCATATGCTGGCTTTGCTTTGTTTACAGCTTAGATCTCAACAAAGAGATGATTTGGTTGCTGTGTTGCTTGAATGACTACAAGCTTACTTCATAGCCTTATTAGTAATAAGAAAGAGAAACAGCAACTGATATGGGAGGTAGAGTCCAAACTTCATGACAAATTGGAGCAGGAAGAGAGTTTAAATAACAGCAAAGGAGGTAACTGAAACATCTATTACTTGGTCTAAATGTAAAAGTAAGATTGTCTGACTTTCAGTTAATAGTTTTATAAAAATTTTCAACTTTTTAAATCAAAGCTAATCTAAATGTAGCTGTGTAAGAAAAGAAGGAAATAAGATGAGATGACTTACTTCTGAATCCTATTTTCTATTCTATTGCTAACTGCCAAAAATGGATATGTAAAGCAATTTATTCCTTAAGATAATAAAACATTCTTTTCCTAGGCTACACTATGATTTTCCCATGTGTCACGAAAGACTTACATTGAGGGCCTGGAGACAACTGTGTAAGACGTTTGGCTTCTGGTAGAATATTTTGCTAACCATAGAAGGTCATGCACAAAGTAATAAATTAGGGAAAACTGTACAAAACTCCATTCTTTCAGACAAGGTGACTTAGGTAGAGAAAAAGAAAAGAGGCTTATTGCCAGGCAGAAGTTTCTACTTAGGATTTTTCAGGGAAGTGACTCATCTTTCTTTCAAACAGATATGAAATAAGTAGGACAACAAACAAGAGTGAATTCATTGTTTTATGTTTTCTAAGCTCCTCAACTTGCCTCTTTTTACTTAGCATGACTTTGTATAGCAAAAGAAAACATAAATATATCATAACTGGAAGGAACAGAGCAGAAGACGAGAGTCACCACACAAGTTGATTACCCAGAAGGTTAGAGTAAAGTGGTTGAGGCTGGGGAGGGTATGAGAGAAAGGGATGAGAAGAATGTGGTTAGTGGGACTGAAGTTATAGTTGGACAGAACCAGGGAATTCTGGTGTGTTATTTCACAGGAGGACAATTATTGATAGCAAGAATATACTGGATATCAAGACAACTGCAAGAAAGGATTTTGAAAGTTTTCACCATAAGCTTCCAGTAGAAATGATAAATGTTTGAGCAGATAAACATCTTTGATTTCAATTAGCTATTAAGCAATGTATACAATTATTAACACATAAACATGAACTCTTTTTGGTTTTTACGTATCAGTTAAAATAAGATTAAACAAATAAAAATATTAAGTGGAAAAAGAACATTAGAAAAGGTGACTAAGATAATTTAATCCTTTTGCAGAGGTTTCTACATTTTAAAAAGAGTACTAGACAGTTTCTAGTAAACTTGAAAATGAGAGAAGTTAAATAAAAAGTGTTATTTGTGTAGTTTTGAGTTCAACCTACTTCTAACAAATTCAATTACAACTTCAGTAATTCGATTGGTGCTTGTATACTTAAAAAATTTCAGAGCCAATGGAAAAGATTGTAGTTCTAGTGCTTTAAGGACATTGTCAATGAAATATGAATGTAGGAGAATAAATTGAAAGGGTAAAATAAGTTTTATGTTAATTTCAAGGCAAATTAAGAAGATAAGAAAAGAAGCCATTCAAAATATGAGATTCTGGAACCTAGTTTAACTGTTATCCTCATCTGTCTTTAATAAGCCATTGATAGTCAATATCTGTTTTTATTACCCAAATATTATATTAAATGGAGAAAGATATTTCTGACCCAGAGATAAAGAGCTGAAAAAATCATTAAGGCAATCAAATGGGATGGGAGGGGGGCAGCAGGAAATCCACACTTTTAATGAGAATGCCTTGAGCTAAAGCTAATCTGAAAGAACATTTCATACAAAATTGATCTAAAGAAGTGTTCAAATGATTCATTTTAAGAAAGGAGAAGCACTGCAAAGACGGGAGATATGTTTCAGGTCATTTTACTGAAGGGTTTCTGCCTCAAAACATTCAGATTTTTTTTTTCTCAGGACTCAAACACCTAGTTCTTAAATATAAAGTGTCAGTTTTGTTCAGAAAGCAAAAGACTTCAATGCCTCACCTCCCTTTATTATCACTTTTCATAATATGAAAGCGATTGCTGATTTCCTCTTAAACATAATTTCCATAATATATTCCAAATAGGCCTATTTCATTTGCTCTAAGCTAAGCAGTTTGGTATTCTATGTTCACTAAGCATAAAGAAAGATTTCGTTAAATCCTTAAAATACATATCTTTCCCATGTTCTCATATACCAGCTTTACACACAAAAGAGGAACTGCAGTAACTGCCATAAATACAGAAATCCTTCTCCTTTATTCAATGAAACAAGCATGCTTTATTAGATTTAGGCCGCATTGGGAAATTGCAACACCAAAAAAATGGATTTTCAAACTTCTTGAATTCATCGAGAGGTTTTGAGGTGTTTTACAAGATCACTAACTTTGTACGTGTGTGTAGAGAGACACATGAGAAATGGAAGTGAATCTGTAAATTCAGAAGTTTTCTTTTTGATGAAGTTTTGGATAAACCTCTAAACTCTAAGTTTTTAAATGTAAATCTAAATCTAAATCATTACTGCCCTGGAAAGAGATGACATGGAATTAAGAATTTTAAGAGGTGATCTCTATGTAATGTCCAGATAGCAAAATCTCAGGGGCGTTGAAAGTCCTTTCGATCCCTAGGCAGCGAAATGTGCCGGCTTCAATTCCTTGCTTCCTCCAAAGCAGCCTTCTTCAGCAGACCTTTTAAAGGCCTTGGCTTTGACAAAATAAAAATTTCACTGTCTCACAAAAACTACAAAATTATTCAACAGTTCTTTGTTTTTAAAATTTTGCAGATGTTTAGGGACTCCTTACTTATTTATTCAATGACTAGTATGCTCTCATAGTAATATTCGAGAACTAAAGTTGTATTTAACCACAATCCACAGCTAGTGCTGTGAGAATTGAGACCAGATTTTATTTTGGCAAGCCCTAAGCTGATTCATTGCTAAGAGCTGCTGAAATTTCAGTCCTTTGCATATAATTAGGGATAAAGTCTCAAATTTTGGTTAAAGAAACTTTTGCCATCTTAAGCCACAAATACACAGAGTCATTATTCATATTTCTTATTCTCTCTTTTACTAATTCCTTGTCATTATTTGCTTTAAAAATCTCTCTATTCCTCTTCATGTATGTATGTATGTATGTATGTGTGTGTGTGTGTGTTTTTAAAACCTCTGTATATCCATATGGTGTATGCTCTAAAAGTATGTCATCAGGTTGACCTATTGATACCCAACAGAGCTAGGAGTGACATTCAATATATACAATAAACTTTCTTAAAGTTTTCCCAGGAAAATCTGGAAGAATTTTATGCTGCCAGTATAAGCTCACTTTTCCCCTGAATTTCTCAACTAAGTTAATAAAATCCAGAAAGCTTTTAGAGTTAGTAACCAAATCATCATTCAGTTTCATGCTCCCATCTGCCGTTAAAACAAAGAATAGCAATTGGGTAGAAAGGTTTATGTTCAATTGCACATTTAACAAATAAATTTTTAATTGAATATGTGATACCTATTGGTGTTAAATTTTTAATACAAATGAAATTAAAATACTTTAAATGACTGGCATTTTAAGGAAAATTGCCTATGGCATTCCATCTTTATATTATTCCGTAGGTTTGGTGTTTTAAGCAAGCTCTTACTATTTCATAAGAAGGAAAAAATAATTTTGTAATGAGAAATTGTTTCAAACTGTATCTAGTTCGTGTACTATCAATAGTTATGACTCATAAAAAAATCACATTTCATCAAAATATAAGGTAACATCACACCCTTTACTTCTTTTCTAGTTGATGAAGGAGGATGTACCTATCTTGGTCAGTCCTATGCCGCTAGAGATGTCTGGAAGCCAGAACCATGCCAAATATGCGTCTGTGACTCAGGATCTGTTCTCTGTGATGACATAATCTGTGATGAAGAGAACTTAGACTGTCCCAACCCAGAAATCCCCTTCGGAGAATGTTGTGCAGCATGCCCGCAGCCCTCAACACCTGTGAGTTTAAAGGACGTTTATCCATCTTCCCGACCCATACTGACATACACGCATAGTTCCTCCCTCCTAGGAAGTCTGGGCCAGCAAATAGCTACACATTTCATGGAAGAGTTTTGCTATGTCTTATTTAATATGTCTTTTCATTTACTAGGCTCCTGTCCCTAACGGTAGAGGACCACAAGGCCCCAAAGGAGATCCTGTAAGTCAAAATTCTTTAATGGAAGAGAATTAATGCTAGAGATAGTTCTGGGAATTGTGAACATTGCTCCCTTTCCACATCCTTTCCAAATTTGAACTTCCACCATTCATACGTGATCTTTAGTACTACGTATTTGGATAATGACATCAAATGACAAACTAAAAGCCCATGATTCTATATGCAAAGCTTCAAAATTCCCAAACTTGGCATGATGTTTTCATTTCACTATGAGTTTAAAAAAATCAAACATAGGTCAGTGTACAAAGGTATGCATTATGATTCAGTTAGTTACAAGATTTTGATTCAAATATATGTATTCCAAAGAAAATATGTTACATGTGATTTCTAATATTATTAAGCAGAGAAGTACAAGTCTAATAATCCTCCTCAATTGCTAATATGTTTCAATGTTTCATTTATTCTTACCTCTGATTTTTTAAGGGCCCTCCTGGTATTCCTGGGAGAAATGGTGACCCTGGTATCCCCGGACAACCAGGTTCTCCTGGTCCTCCTGGTGCCCCTGGAATCTGTCAATCATGTCCTACTGGCGGTCAGGTAAGAGGTTACCAGACTGAAAAATCTTCCCTGAAAAGACTGTCCTCATCCATCTTCTTTCCCTAGCCTCCACCATGTCTCACAATTATGAGTCCTTTATATTTGTTTTCTAGTTTTATGCATTTAACAAATCCTTATTTAGAGCTTATATGTGATAGGGTCTATTCTAAGAGCTTGAAAAGTATTCACTTTCCTCATGATGCTAATGCTATTGCTATTATATCTTTGCAAATTTTCCCAACTTCTCATTCGAGAAATGAACTATCAAGTTCCAAACAATTAACCTAGATAATTTAGGAAGCCTTAACAACTGTCCCTTACCTCTCTTTTACCACCAATGTAAAATTCTGCAGAGCCAAAACAAAAAGCAGTTCAAGAGCTGTGAACATTGTTCATCAGCTTCAAAGCAACTGGATTATTTACACCCAGATAACTGCCTTTGCTAAGCATTTAGAGACTTTCTTTCTCCTCCAAAGCATGAGTCAATCCATTCTAACACAAAACTAAACAAAGAAATAGGACAAAATTTCAGCCTACTAGATTTAGGCAAAATTAGAAAACATATATGCCAAATCTTTATGAGATTAAAAATGCTATTTAAAAAGCATTTCAGCAAGAATCAAAGCACATCATTTAATATATCCTTATCCTGGTAACCATCTAGGACCTGTCTGTAGACTTAGAACTCAAAATAAAGTAACCTCCAAAGAAATTCAATAAGCACATGAGTCTTTCTTCTGTTCTTTTCCTTGTCTTCTGTGAGGATGCTTGCTTTCATGTGCCACTTGTAAGCATATTAACAATAAACCAAAGGGTTTAAATTTTACTCACTGCATTACCTGCTTGATACAGTAATTTGATTTCTTCATTTGATAGTTGAATTTTATGATCTTGAAGACTCTTCCAACCTCAAATAGTGTATGGTCTTATGGTTGTGATGCTATTAATAATTCTTAGAAACAATGATTACAGCAAGAGTATTGTATATGGGATCAAATTTGGGGGAAACAATGTTGAATATGGTTATTTGAATGTTCATGCATTATGGAAGCCAAGGTTCTGTATGTCTAATATTTAAAGCCATAGAGAGAAAGGTTAAACAAGAAATTAATGTGTGACACTCTGCTGATATGCAGACACCTTTATGAGTGAGTAGTATGTTGCTTACACTCTTTCTAAATACTTTTGCAAATAACTATTGTACCTATCCGGTCTCTTTGCTGTAGAACTATTCTCCACAGTATGATTCATACGATGTCAAGGCTGGAGGACCAGGAGGAGTCGCGGGCTATCCTGGGCCAGCTGTATGTACAAATTTTTCTCAGTATTGTAGAGTGTTACCTAGAGTTCCAGTTTGTTAAATCTTAAATGATGCTCTTCAGAAATACAGTGTTTTTATGGAATTGCACAGAATAGCTTATTGTTTATTAAGTTCACAAAGCAAAAGGGTAACATGATTGAGTTTCTTGTGTTCTCACTCAGTCCTCCACCTGTCCCCTGTGTTGTGCCCGTACTGCCACAGCCTGACCCGACCACCTGCACCAGGACTCACTCGCCTCCTTGCTTAAGCCTTACACTCGTATACTCTCTGACTTCTTCAGATGTTGTTTTTTTTGCTTCATCTTTCTCCACCACCTTGTTCTACATCTTATTTTATACTCTGTCACACATTTCAGAATTTTCAGAATTCAGTGAGTTTTAAGTGTATCTACCTTAAAGGATAGTTCTTCCACTTATGCTGAAGGATTTTCTTCAATGTAAATGACCTGGAAGTTTGATCGGAGCAAATAGCACCTGAAGCCCAGGCACGCATTCAAGAAAATGTGGCATTCCATGTAAATGACCCTGGTTTTGGAAAAGTGTCACAAGAACCAGCACTAAAAACGGTTCTAATTTCCTCACAAGGAACAGACACACGAGCAAAAACGAAGCATGGCCCTGAATTCTATAAGCTCGTAGAGGACTGCTGTTCTCATCCGGCCCCATCTCTGTGACTACCAAAGCTAGAGAGACACAAAATTTTTGCCAGTATATCTAAATAAAAGACCCTTAAAGAAAAGCCCTTGGAGACAGGAGAACACAATGTGAAGAATGAGAGTTTTATTAACCTATAAAGTTTTAGGGGCTGTGAGTTTCTTATTTATCTTTCAAAGACACAGGAAGAATTCTATTGATTTCTGTGACTATTAAGCCTTAGATACATTATGAATTTGTTTTGTAATGACATAACAAAACTAAATAAAACCATCAATTATTGACCTTCCAGAAAAGTGATCAGAGGACAACAATTTAATTATAAACTACTGTTCCATAAATTTATGACCACCATGCTACAAACTGGTTTCTTAGTGTGGTTTGCATTTCTGAGTGCTAAATCAGTTTGTTGTGAATTACCATACTTCTGTGTATGATGATTCTCATGTGCACATCTAAATCTCTATGTCAGTGTAACTCTGTGACATCCATATCAATACAGCTATTAAGCTTTTGTGTTAGTTTACATTATGTTTTAGAAACTTTGACCCTAGGATTTATAGTATGCAGATAAATACTTTTCCAAAATGAGTTTGGCTACCAGACAGAAAATTGCTTCTTCTCCAGTGCAATATCATCTAAGTATTGCAGGGGTTCTCATAACATTTTGCACAGATTTTTCTAACTTTTGGGTTGTCTTCTTTAATGATTAATATAAACATTCTATAATATTTATTAATAATTTTTGTCATTCAGAGATAATTTTATTGAAATTTTTCTTACTGAGATCTTCACTGCAGATCTTATAAATTAATCATAATCACATCTATGACTATCAGATGAGATGTATTTGCATTTTTAAAGATGTCTGCATCATATCTTTATAGTTATCTCTCTGAATAGATAAAGTGTATTGTATATTCATTTATTTTGTATTTATCATTTAAAATTATATTCCAGGGTCCCCCAGGTCCTCCCGGTCCCCCTGGCTCCTCTGGTCATCCTGGTGCACCTGTAAGTAGAGATTCTAATGATGCTTTCTTCTTCGTGAATGGTTAAATCAAGTTAATAGAGATCCTGTTATAACTTAATCATTTTAGCCCATGTAACCCCAATTAAATGGGAGTAGCCACACCAGGAAACTGATTATTCTTTTAAAAATACAATGAAGTATCACAGTTAATTGCTTTCCATCAGCAATTATCAGTAATTACAACTTTGGTAAAATTAAACCACATGCTACATTTGCATATAATGTGGAATGGAATTTAAAACAATTCAGTTTTGGTGGGATGACATGAACAGAGAGGGATACATTAACTTTATTTAGATTCAAAATATTTAGTATCAGTCTTTGTATACTGGAATAAAATTTGCTAATTGCATTCACAAATCCTGACTTCCTATGATCAGCAAGATGTCAGTGACTCATATGTATATTGTTACTTCAGAAATACTTACATATTATTCTGTTTACTAGGGTTCTCCAGGATACCAAGGTCCCCCTGGTGAACCTGGACAAGCTGGTCCTACAGTAAGTAGCAATTCAATCTACATTCGATAAATTGACAATTCAATACAGATGGTTTAATTTCTATAGAGAAACTACCCTCAGTTTCAAAACACTGCCATAGGTCCCTATGTAGTGTACATTATGTTTATGCTGAAATTTTTATACAGCAAGTAGTATTTTATGGTGCATGAGCTAGTTTTAAGGATCTTAGGGACTCCTTAATTAACTATCACAGTAGTCTATTTCCTAGATTTGGTGCAAGCCTTAGCTATTAAATATAGATTTCATTTTTGTGCCTATTCAGTCCTCCCTTATATTTATCCAGTTCCCTCTACTCTATTCTTTGTATATATATTTTAGTGTAGTAGAAATAAACAATCTATAAAGTCCTCCAGAAGGATATGCTCTATAAATAAGAAAGTGGAGTTATATAAATAAAATATTTTAAATTAATTAAAAGTACTTTTGTATTTAGATATAGTTCAAAGCTTAAAAAGGTAAAAGTACATTTAAATTTATAAACACACGGTATAAATTATAGATATATGATGCTTTTAATTTTTTTCAGTTTAGTGAACAGTAAGAATTTGATACAATAAAGTTATAATAATAACTCAGTGCTCTTTTCCTGGGGAGAAACTTTGAAAGTATTTTCAAAAAAGGAGTTTCTTTCCAAAATACACATAATATAGGATAATAAGTATAATGGTAAAGTTGCCAAATGCATTTATTCTTTATTTTCTTACTTTAGGGCCCTCCAGGACCTCCTGGTGCTATAGGTCCATCTGGCCCCGCTGGAAAAGATGTAAGTTTTTAAGTATTGAACAGGGATACACCAAAGGTCAACCAGATATTTTATGAATAGCATATTTAGTTTATGAGAATCTCAGGAGGAAAAATGTTATTTGAAAATTGTTTCTGTCTTACCATTTTAGCTCTGAGGAATGTTGCGAATCTGTATGTCCCGACTGTACCATAACTGTATACACCAGTTCTTGAATGCTAAGCTAATAGAATCTAGAACCTCCAGATGTACTTCTTGACTTCATGTGGCTCAGGGAGGCAGAACATTTTCCTAGAATGTGTGACACCCTGGGTTTCATTCCCAGCACAACAGTATAAACAAAGACTTATCCCATGAATATACCATTTGCTGGAAGAGAAATAATTTCCTCTGTCTGCCTTTTATAATGAAAGCATTTATATCAATACTTTATATGCTTCATGATTTATACATGCCTTCAACATAATACCATTCTGTCCTTTCCTTCAGTCTGATGGCAAATTCCTACTATGTTGGGAAAGGGTCATAGTGTTTCAGTGATGAGGCAGCTTATGTCAAGATGGGAGAAGCCCTCAATCTTTCTGCTAAAAAAAGTGACCACACAGCTATGTATTTCTTGTAACCATTTTAATCATACCTTCATGAAAAACACAAATTAATCAGATCAGCCTTTGGTTACAATCTGTTTTCTCAAATGCAAGCCCCTAAAAATTCTTTATTTCCCCATTTAGGGAGAATCAGGAAGACCAGGGAGACCTGGAGAACGAGGCTTACCTGGCCCTCCGGTAAGTCTTCGGTGTCTCATAGAGCAGAGAAGCAATCACCATTATTTTAGTTTGAAAATCACTGCATCGTTAAATTGTATCAAACTTAAAAGTAGAAGGCGTTTTGAATTCTGATAGCATTGGGCGATCTGTTAATATCTTCTTCTTTAATCACTTTTAGGGTATCAAAGGCCCAGCTGGCATGCCTGGATTCCCTGGTATGAAAGGACACAGGGTGAGTAGAGATTGCAAAGTGCCTACAAGCTCTTCCATCTGGACATGTTCACACAGCTGTAAACATATGTTTACACAGTGCATCGTGCAACTGAGTGTATGCCAAAAGTAGTTGATTTGACAGCTAGTTGATCTGATTTGTTAAGAAGTCTCTCAGCTTTATTTATTGACCAAACTAGCTATTTTACACAAAAATAATTGAGCTTACTTTCTATGAAAAGGCTTGGCCAGGAATACATTTACATTTTTTACTATGACTATCAGAAAAAAGTGAAAAATACCTTATTAACTATGCATTATTATTTGACTTAGTATGAATTAGAGGTTGAAGCGAGCACTTCTACATAAAATTTAAGTAGAATCAATCACATCCCAAATCTATTAATTTCATAAACATAAAATCTATGAAGTTGGTATTTGCTCCTCTATAGTTAAAATAAACTTCTAATTGGACAAAATTATTCTTTTTAACCAATTTTAGAACTTTTGCTATAAAATCAATGTCAAATATCTTCAATCTCTTTGAAATATTTTAGATTATTTAAATTAGTTGCAAATGGTTCTGTGTAGTAAAATCCAATGATAGAAATTTAATGTAAAATTTATCAACCATTGTGAATTAAGAGATTTTAATATTGTTACTATTTTATATGTTTTTTAGGGCTTCGATGGGCGCAATGGAGAAAAGGGTGAAACAGGTGCTCCTGGATTAAAGGTAAACAAAATAAAATGCTTACAACTATTTCACACTACTGAAATGCATCATTTTTCTTAGATTCCAAAGTATTTTCTGTAATCTAATGTTGTTTTAAAAGATATAAAATTCTGTTTGTGATACATAAAACAATAACATATTTTTTGTCTCCATAGGGTGAAAATGGTCTTCCTGGTGAAAACGGAGCCCCTGGACCCATGGTAATTATGCTGCTTATCCTACAATTTTCAGTATTGCCACTGACCTCCTTGGACCCAACAGTGGCTTTGCTTTCTCCCAACTGTCCTTGTACCTGTCAAGTTTAAACTAAGATCATGCTTCCAATTTTCCTCTCTAGGGTCCAAGAGGGTCTCCTGGTGAGAGGGGACGGCCAGGACTTCCTGGGGCCGCGGTGAGTACTGTCACCAACACTGTACAGTTACATCCCATAGTGACAGATAAATGTCTCAGGTATTCATGCTGTGAAAATCTTCAGAAAATTCTCCTTCCTACAAAACTGTACAGAGTCACCTCAATAAATTTTAACTCTAATTATATGGAAATGAGTAAGTTTATAGTTATTATCTCCGTGAAGGGTTGTTTGTACCTGTGTATTTGCATGTGGTCCACATTCAGTCTTAAAAACACAGACTCCAGGCCTACATTTTATCTTTCTGCGTACATCACAATTTTTTACAATTTGACAGTATATACATACGTAATTATTATATATATATAATTAGCAGATTTTAAATTACTGGATGAAAACTCAACTCACTTGAATTGGGTTTTAGTCACCATGTTATTTGTGCCCAGCCTTTTATGAGTAAGAAGATCCTTGATAAAATCTCTCTTTTTAGGGGGCTCGAGGTAACGATGGTGCTCGAGGCAGTGACGGTCAGCCAGTAAGTAACTTTTTATCTACCCCTGATTTGTTCAAGGGTAATGTGAGATTCTAGACTGCGCATTGTTTATAATATATCTACCTGTTTATAATATATCTACCTAATATATTTAGTAACTTCTAGTTGGCTATCTTTACAATTAAACAATAAAAAATTATTTTGTTGCAGACTTAATACTTGAAACTGTATATAAATATACGCTTATTTTACTGGGTTTCTCTGCATAATTATTGTAATATTCATGATAAATACTACTTTTATATGCATAGTGCTCATATTTTATCTCAGTGTACTTACTCATTATTTGTAGCAGTGTTAGGTTTCATTTACTTAAGAGCTCTTGAAATTGTATTTAATTTTTTCAGGGCCCCCCTGGCCCCCCTGGAACTGCAGGCTTCCCTGGATCACCTGGTGCTAAGGTAAGCATGTACTTGCATAGAAGAATATAAAAGTATCTTGGTGAGAACAGAAAAGCGCAGGATTACTTCTTGCAAATGATGTCTTGACCACTCAAATGGATGGCCTTTGCTTATACAGAATTTGAAAGCCACATAGTTTATTCTAAAGGAAGTTTTGCTCCCCCTCATATTATCTCCTGATAGATCTTCTGATGCTGTCTTTCTTTTTGTGAACTCTTTCTGGAAAACGTACATAACAGAGTCATAGGCACGTTTATCATTTTCTCTGCCTTTATGATTAATGACTCTTTGATTAACTACAGTATATCATCATAGTGTTACAGCTTTTAGGAGATGTGTTTAAACAGCTGATGGGTGGACTGTAAGTGATGAGAAGCATCCAGGAAAACCTTCTACAGTACTTTGCATTTTATCCCTTAGGGTGAAGTTGGACCTGCAGGGTCCCCTGGTTCAAGTGGAGCCCCAGGAGCCAGAGGAGAACCTGGACCTCAGGGACATGCTGGTGCTCAGGGTCCTCCTGTAAGTAGCAAATACACCACCTAAGGGGAAGAGCGCTGCTACATTTATGCCAGGAAAGTATGTACCTCAATGGTACTGCCAATTAAAACAGCTTCTCTAAAAATGTAGCTTAATTCTCTACAATGATTCTATTGTGACAAATACTGATTTTGGTAGTAGGCAAAGTGTAGCTTTTGAGGGTTATACTATTCTAGACTTTATAAATTTCACATTTCTATAATGCAGAAGGGGATGGATAGTATTGTACTGATACTATGAAGGATGTGCCCTAGAGTAATCATCAATCAAAAAACATTCAGAAAAGAAACAAAACCGAAAACCTCTCTTATTTATGTCTTATTTAGTAATCTGCACCAAGTACATATGATCTCTACTTTATTTAATGCATGGTATGTCTTCTGCCTTCATTTTGTGATGTGTTGTTAGAATAATCACGTATTCTCTATAAAATTCAATGCCTGCCAATATATTTCATGACAAATAAAAAACTCCAAATATATAAGCACTGTTTGCATTATTGTTAATATGATCTTTTTTTTGCGTGCCCTAGGGCCCCCCTGGGAGTAATGGCAGTCCCGGTGGCAAAGGAGAAATGGTAAGGTCCCCCACGGACATACCTCCCCTTCAGCTCCTCCATACACGCATTAGATTTGTGATATTTAAGTGAGATATTCAGGAGATGAAGTTCAATCAGCTAACCTAAGTGCTCTTTGGTTGTTCTTAGGGTCCCGCTGGTATTCCTGGAGCTCCGGGTCTGATGGGAGCCCGGGGTCCTGCAGGACCACCCGGTACCAATGGTGCTCCCGGCCAGAGAGGTAGTCCTGTAAGTTGCCTGTTTTTCTTTGTCACCTGAAACGTGCGCGCTTAACTCCCACAACAAAAATACTCATTTCCAAAAATGTTTGCTCCTCTTGAGTTGAATTTATATTGACTTTAGTCTAGTCTTATCCCCGCATTATGTCTTGCCAGTAATGACTTGTTAGTCAAATCCTACCTGTTTCCAAACTAAAATTTGTTTAACTTTAGGGCGAACCTGGTAAGAACGGTGCCAAAGGAGAGCCAGGAGCACGTGGTGAACGTGTAAGTGTTATCACAACGGATTTGGTTATTTCTTAGAAAACTCCAAACTAGTTAGAAAGCTAACAGTTAAAAATGTTACAACTAAGTTTAAACGTAAGTCCTTTCTATTGCCCTCACTTTTCAGGGTGAAGCTGGCTCCCCAGGTATTCCAGGTCCCAAGGGTGAAGACGGCAAAGATGGATCCCCCGGAGAACCGGGAGCAAACGGACTGCCAGGTGCTGCAGGAGAAAGGGTACGTTTCCTCTGTAACAACTCAGAGAAAAGCATGATCACCATCCAAGCGAAACTGTACCTGAGCATGAGGCAACCATAGACTTGTTGAGTGTCTGATCTCAAACAATGGCTGTATCGCTGCTCAGGGACTGTGAAAAGTTTTTGTTCTTTACACTGAAACATTTGACTTTCATTATTTCTAGGGTGCCCCTGGATTCCGAGGACCTGCTGGACCCCCTGGTCTTGCAGGAGAAAAGGTAGATAACTTTAGTTTCTACTATCCTAAGTACTAATATTAAATGTAGGTATTGCTTTTATATAACTTCCCACGACCAAACCTAAGTATCTAAAGAAATGTTTTTGCATTAAACATAATGATCAATGTAAAACAATAATATTGATCCCTATTTAGCCATTTCCTTGCTTGTTCACTGAAGCAAGTCGCTTAATCTCTATGAGATCATGTCTGTAGATTGGAATCACCTAGCATTATTGCGAGAATAAACTAAAATGTCAAAAAGTTCTTTGAAACTACAGTGATATGAAATATGATTTCATACCATCAAAGATTGTTGCCTTTACATGCACAGAAATATATTAAACCCAACAAATATTTTTTGTCTTCAAAATGTGATGTTCACCAGAGGTTTTCAAAATTTTAAGATAAGGCAATCCAGTCTAAGATAATGACTATTTTATATTGAAAATGTCAGAGACGCTAGTTATTGTTGAGGCCAGATAAATTCTACAGTTATAATTTAAATATTACGGATATATAAGTCAATGAAGACTCTTTTCAAGATTCGCTTAAAGATTTATTTTTCCCTGTAGGGCCCCTCTGGGGAGCGTGGTGGGCCAGGACCTGCAGGAGCCAGAGGAGTGGCTGGAGAACCTGGCCGAGATGGCGCTCCTGGAACTCCAGGAATGAGGGTAAGGAAAGACACTGGTTTGAATCACACTTTAATTTGGTAAGAAGAAAGCAAGACAAATCAAGATGGATCCAAAATAATGTATTTCAGATTGTACCTTTCCTAGGGCTCAAATCAAAGCAACACAAAATTCTTTTAAGAAAACATAAGCCAGGATAGATCTAAGAAGAACATAACATAGAACAACTGACTAAGGTGCTGTATAGATAGAAAGAAAAGCGTTCAAACATGAAGCTACATATGTAAATGGAAATCTCAGAATTCTACAAAGTATTGTACTTTTTTAAATTTTTATTTTAAATCACCTGACAACTGATTTCTTTCATTCAGGGTGCTCCTGGAAGCCCAGGAGGACCAGGCAATGATGGGAAACCAGGGCCTCCCGTAAGTACATTTTTAAAATGTCATTTTACAAACACAATAATAGAGTAAGATGTATATTTTGGTATAACGTTGACATATATCTACATGCATTGCAGGTTTTGATCCATTATTTGTGAACCCTTGATTGATATAATTGTTTTTTTCATTAGGGAAGTCAAGGAGAAAGTGGTCGCCCCGGTCCTCCTGGGCCATCTGGTCCCCGAGGTCAGCCTGGTGTCATGGGTTTCCCTGGTCCTAAAGGAAATGATGTGAGTTCTTTCATTAATTTCTTCAAGAAATATATGACAGATATGTATTGCAAACATATTCCAATAAAAACTGTTGAACATGAAAAAGAAATATATGACACAAACCCTTTTAGTTTCCAGAAGGTTTAGAGATGGCCCAAACTTATTCTCCTCTAAAAAACATGGAAAAGTCTATGCAAATCAAATAGCATGTAGGAAGGAAGCTAAATGTATAGTTGGTTATGAGTGCGTGTGTGTTACTGGTGTGTGTGTGTGTGTGTGTGTGTGTGGCAGGCAGATCAAAAATAGTTGGAAGTAATATCCATACGATTATTACATTTTTTATAGAATTGGTAAATTCTGGTCACTTTTTCTTTAGGGTGCTCCTGGCAAGAATGGAGAACGGGGTGGCCCTGGAGGGCCTGGACTTCCGGTACGTAGCTTTCATCTACTTATTTCAGGCCTTCTGGCAGCTGCATTAATACCAGGACTCAAGACTTTGATTATGGGTATTAACTCTGCTTCCCTTTTAATTGTTGTTTTTAGGGTCCCCCTGGAAAGAATGGTGAAACCGGACCTCAGGGCCCCCCAGGCCCTACTGTAAGTATACTCTAATTGGAAATGGAAGTGGGGTAGGGATTGTGCACAGGGAAAGGTATAGAAATTATACAATCTCCAACACTATGTTATCATAGCTACTAAAGCAATTGAGAAGCTTGCTTATCTAGTTATCTAGGTAACTGCAACAGTAAGTTTGTGTGGTGCCTAAAGGATATGGGCCACTTCCACAGCACATGTTGTCCTTTCTTCACATCTTTACTTTCTAAGATATGGGCCTTCTGAGAAGTCTACTGCAGACTCAATACAAAATAGCATTTTGTAATAGAGGGTATCATATTTTTCTACATAGGGGCCATCTGGTGACAAGGGAGACTCAGGACCCCCTGGTCCCCAAGGATTACAAGTAAGAACTTCTTCTTTAAATGTCACTGAATGCTTGCTTTTAATAGATGATTAGATGAATGTTACTTCCCCTTTCATAGATATGTTTGTTGAGCAAATTGATAGTTAATTTTTGTGACTAATAGATTACTATTCACATTAAATTTAACTTGTGGGTTTGTTCTAACATCAAAATGTCAGTCAATATTAATAGGTAGCATATCTTTGGTGCTTATACTAGAATACACACTTTCAGTTATTTAAAAAGATTTAACTCATATAGTTCCATATACCTGTACTTATTTTTCATTACATTATAAAGTCATACAGCTAAATTTATCTTGTCATTTTATCAACATATTTTTTGTAAAACAAAAGAAGAAAAGAGCAGTGATCATGGTCTCTAAGATATGGTTAGCATAAGTCAGTCACAGGTTTTGAGTGGCACACATATTCTATTTCAAAAAAGACCATGAAAACCATTTTTAATCTTAGAGAAACGTGAGAGTCTTTCCCATAAGCAATGTTTGAAGTGACAGCATTATATAAATATGACTTTTTTTATAGGGCTTGCCTGGTACTGCTGGTCCTCCAGGAGAAAATGGAAAACCTGGTGAAGCAGTAAGTTTCATTTCATTTTTCAAAATTCAGAAGCCAAGGAATAAATAGTAATCCTCTATCAGTTATTAACTTTTGAATATTTACGTGCAACTGTATCTGAGCTTTGATATTTAGCTCTCGAAGATAACTGTTCCCTAGAGATTCTGAATTTCCTCAGAAAAGACATAAAGAGACAGCACACAGCTTCAAGATTTGAACAACTGTTATCTATGGAAATAAGACAAATGTGTCTGCTGCTCATGATTATGTTGTATATTTTGATATTGACCTAATCGTGCAATGTCCACCTCCTAGGGTCCCAAGGGTGATGTTGGTGCACCAGGAACTCCCGGAGGCAAGGTGATATTTCAAGTTTTCCTCTACTTTCTTTGACATGTTATAAAGTAATTGATCAGTGACATGTTTTTAGTATATCAAGCTCAAATCATGTTTCTTAAGAAGAACAACACTTCATATTTTGATGAATGCACTTAGGGAAATTCAAGACATTTCCCATGCAATAAGCTTGTTTCGTCTGGAATGTCTGCTACTCTAAATTTAATAAGCACGGTAGAACCAGCCATGGACTTGAAATTTCAAAATGAAAATATTGCCAATGTATTGATTCTCTATAGGAAAACTTTTGGTAGAAGAACTTTTTAAAATTGCCCTTGTAGATGTAATTACATATAGGAAAACTCATTTTTACAAGAACTTTAAAAATTTGACATGCAAGTAATATAATAATAATGAATATCAAAAAAGGTAGTACTTAGGCCAAGTACCTGGATTTCCCATTTTAGACATTTATATTTGCAGTCCCTACATAACTGATCAAATGGTTATCATTAGTATAAAATTTTCCAACTGCTCAAAAATGCAAGTTAAGAACCTAGTGGCCAACAACAAAGTGATTTAGGGTGTGTTTTGTTTTATCTTTAGCACTGGATTTTCTAATGTGGATATTACATTTTCCTATGCCAGGGTGATGCTGGTGCCCCCGGTGAACGTGGACCTCCTGGATTGGCGGGGACCCCAGGTCTTAGAGGAGGAGCTGGTCCCCCTGGTCCTGAAGGAGGAAAGGTAATTCCACACAATTCAATTCTCCTAGACCAGCGATGGTAAACCTTTTAGAGCTTTCAATGATAACAAACAGCAGGCTGTGACACGCGTGCCATAGAGTCCCCACTGCTGGCCTACACTTCGATAAATGCATCCTATTTCCTTCTTGACATGTACTATCTCTGCCTTGATTTCAGGGCCCCGCTGGTCCCCCTGGACCACCCGGCACTTCTGGTAGTCCTGGTCTGCAAGGCATGCCTGGAGAAAGAGGAGGCCCTGGAAGTCCTGGTCCAAAAGGTGAAAAGGTACTGACATATTTTCTTTTAATTATGTAATAGAAACAAATGTTATATATTAAAATAACTCCACCTACTTGAAAAATTAATGCTATCTCATAGTAAGGGAAATTTGCAAGGGGTTCCTAGATCAACTACTAAAGGAGCAAAATGAACACTAAAAATCATCTGAGAGGATGCTGAGAGCTGCTGATCCTCTTGGAATATCTCCCCTGCTGACACTGGCTTTCATTTGACAGGGTGAACCTGGTGGAGCGGGTGCTGATGGTGCTCCTGGGAAAGATGGTCCAAGGGTAAGTGTTCATGCTTGGGAGAATAAAGCCTGATGTGGAAGAGTCCCATACTTCAACATTTCAAAAGTTTCAAAAACTACTCGTGATAAATTAGACCATACTTGACCACTCTGTAGTCATTAAAAAGACCCAAATGATTTGATTATGGAAATTACTGGTTTCTATCTATCAGTACCTGCCAGTTTTATAGCGACCTAACAATGGAAAAACTTCAAATATACAATACAGATCACAAGTTGGCACCATAGAGTCACTAAAATCCAAGGCAGTCAATATTGCGATGGAGATATTTTTTACACTTAAAAATAACATGATACATCTGTGGTATATATATGCACATCATGGAAGGGTACTTAGCAATACAAAGGAATGAACTAGTGATGTGTACAACTTATACAAATCTCAAGACAACAAGCCAAGTAAAGTCAATCTCCAAAGGATAATACTGCATGATTCTATCCCTGTAATAATCACTAACAACATAATTTTAAAAGAGGTGTAAAACATATTAATGGCTGTCAGGAGTTGGAAATGAGAATGAGAGGCACATATGGCTCTAGAATGTCACAAGAAAGAATATTATAATGACTGTATTTCTGTATCTTGATTGTAGTACTGGTCATGCTGGGCTACACATGTGATAACATTGTATAAATGCACACACAAATGTACATATAATGGTTTAAATCTGTATAGATTGTACAAATTTCAATTTCTTAGTGTTGACATTATACTGTAGTTTTTTAAGGTGTTAACATTGGAAGACTTTGAGAGAAAGAGGTACAGAATTTTGCTGCACATTTCTTTGCAACTTCCTGTGAATCTTTGTCAAAACAATATGTTCAAACAAACAACACAATATGTTCAAACACAACACAATATTAGAATCCTCTAGATATGACTACAGCAAATTATAGGTCTGTTTCATATGTGATATGGAAAGTTCATTATTTCAACTTTTATTTCTTCCAAAAACCACTCATGATAGTTAGATTATACTTTTTCACTTTGAGAGCATTAGAAAGGCCTATATAAAATGGTTATTTAAATTAAGTCATTTCATAGGTTTTATATTTTTATAGTTGTCTATATATAGGTATTAAATTTATTATAGTTGTCTTAAGGAATTTCAGAGATACTTCACTTTTGACAGACTAGATAGATAAGAAGTTTTTACCTATGTCACAAACTAGATGGGTGAGCTTGATTCCAAAGGCTAAGGCTACAGAATCATTTGAACCCAGGAGTGTGAACCCAACCTGGCCAACATACAATCAGACTCAAAGTATTCTGATACTTTATTTATGTTTCATAGGCAAACCAATTTCTACTTTAAAAGTTTAAAATGCATGATAACACTTCGAGTAGTTAAACATTGTACATTATCAACCATTTGAGTAAAGGAATATACTTTAATTTTTAAGATATTATAATAGCCTCTTACTTTTCATCCTATTTATTTTCTATAATGTAGATCCAAATGAATGAATTAACAAACAATTGCTGAATACCGTTTATTGCCTTCTGGGTCACCACTGTAAAATCTTCTGTTTACTAAGCTCTCTAATACTTGCACTGATTAGTATAACATTCAGCAATGAAACCAATCATACTGTCTACTTTACTAGCTGGATGATAGGTCTATATACCCTCTGTTTGATTAATGTGAAGAATGATGTTATTTATCTTTGAAATTTAAAAAGTATGTTTCATTTTCCTTTAGGGCCCTACTGGTCCTATTGGTCCTCCTGGCCCAGCTGGTCAACCTGGAGATAAGGTAACAAATAATGCTGTCTGAAAGCAAAAATAAAATGTCTTTGACTTTTTGGATTCAGGTGAGTGACAATATTGTTATTTGTTTTCCTTTTTCTCAGGGTGAAAGTGGTGCCCCTGGACTTCCAGGTATAGCTGGACCTCGTGGTGGCCCTGTAAGTGTCAAAGACCTTTTCAATGTGATTTTTAACCCCATACAGACAGTAGTTGCTTGTGCTACCCTTTTAAGCAATTCCTCCTCAGGGGCCTAAGTCTCAGTGTTGGAGTTCTAGCTTTAGGAACATATGACATGCAAGGGAATGTTAAGTTCCTTTAACCTACAATCCACAAGACACCATTTGAAACCATGCCTTCTTTCCTGAATAACTACTGAAAAATATAAAATTTGCACAACAGTGTATATTTATAAATGAATGTTTCTTAAACCTACAGGAGTATTTCGAGAGGTTCATACTAGATCTAAATTCTCTGCTTGCAGGATTTAAGACTCAAGAAAAACATATAGCAAGTGTTTATTTTAAATCAGTCAATGGACTTTTCAATTCACTATTTTGCCATATTTAAGATATTTACATTTTTAGAAGTTATATGACTGAATGTGTTACATATTTCAACATTTTCGAGCAATGTTTTCTTGTGAATAACATAGCCAGAGATTGAAGGGATCAGTCTTTCTGGTATTGATTTCATGTGGGAAGACTTCAGAAGTGAAAGCGTGTTAGTTGTCTTTGCACATTCTTCTGCTTCAAGGAAAGACAGGATGATAGAGGACAGTGTGCACTCCCTATGGGGCATGTCTTCAGTGTGACTTACCGGTGTATTGTTCTCCTCAGGGTGAAAGAGGTGAACATGGCCCCCCTGGACCTGCTGGTTTCCCTGGCGCTCCTGTAAGAACATTTAAACATACATGTCACACCGCCTCAAATACCACCTCACTAAAATCTAGCAGAAATACGAGTCAATTTTTGTTCTAGTCTTTCTTAAGACACTTATTCCCAGTAAAGATATTTTATCCTTTATTTTGCTTATTTCTATTCTTGCCCTTTTAAAAGTGGAAATAAAAATACCTCTTCTGCCTTTATACCTGGATAACGAGGCTACAGCATCGCCATACATTTAAAAACACTGAACAATTCTAAAGTTCTGCATTATCTGATGATATTAAAATTCACTCTAAATCCATTTCCTTTCAAGAGTTTAATGATGTTCATTTTCAAATACACCATGTGTAGAAAAACTTTCTCCCTCATGGCAAATAAGATCTACCCTATATTTTCTCCATATTCTTCTTCCATCATGGAAATACTTCAGTTAACTTTGCTATGGCATGACTTTGGAGAGTTTCCTATTCCTATTTTATTCCAACACCTTTCCATCTGAATGATTCTATGTTCTATCCCACAAGTCCAGGGTACTGTAATGGTGTCAGCCAACAAGTCTTTGCTATCTCTGCCCACAGGGACAGAACGGCGAGCCGGGTGCTAAGGGAGAAAGAGGAGCGCCTGGAGAGAAGGGAGAAGGCGGAGCCCCTGGCATTGCAGGACCTCCTGGCGGCTCAGGGCCTGCTGTGAGTACTCTCCCTCAGCCTGCTCATGGGAAGCCCTTAGGTTTACCAATAATTTAATAGTTCATATGGAGAATGAACTATTAAAGTACGTCATGGTGAAAGAGTGTAATCTTCCTAGGCGTATAGTTCTAAGTTTGAACCTTGGCCCCAGAAGTTTACACATGACAACATTCATGTTATTTTAAATTCTTTCTGATGTCACTGGTTCTCAAAGGCTTATTACTTCTCTTAAATTTTTATTTTGGTGTTATACTTAATAATCCTTTTTTGTTGATTTCATTTCATCCAGGGTCCTCCTGGTCCCCAAGGTGTCAAGGGTGAACGTGGCAGTCCTGGTGGTCCTGTGAGTATTGATCCCTTGTATCAGCCTGTACAAAGACAGACCTTAGCCAGAAAATATCAAATGATGGTCACTCAGTCATTTATAAGTTTATGTGTCCAAAGTAACAAAGCAAACCAGAAATGAAGTGACTTAAAGATGCTGTCACATTTCTTATACTTTATATTTGTTTATACTACACAACTACTTGTTCTAGTTGTGAAATTAAACAGTTATTATTAATTCACAGGGTGCTGCTGGCTTTCCTGGTGCGCGTGGTCTTCCTGGTCCTCCTGGCAATAACGTAAGTTATTCTTCAAGTACTTTTCATTATGCATTTCAGAAAGCGGATCCATTTATCTCTACACTGAGAAACCTAGGTAAAAGGGGGAATAAAAAAATTATTTTTTTCAAAGTAAATACTTAAATTTCAAACAATTCTATATAGGGGAACCCAGGCCCTCCCGGTGCCAGCGGCGCTCCAGGCAAGGATGGACCCCCAGGTCCTGCAGGTAACACCGGTTCTCCTGGAAGTCCCGGAGTGTCTGGACCAAAAGGTGATGCTGGTCAGCCAGGAGAGAAGGGGCCACCCGGCGCCCAAGGTCCTCCGGTGAGTGGCTCCGTTGCTGTATTGAGTGCTCTCCATCACTGATTTAGGAGAGGAGAACATAGTCATGTAAGGCTGAGCTAAGTCTTCATTTTCTGTCACAACAGGGAGCCCCCGGCCCACTTGGACTGGCAGGGATCACCGGAGCACGGGGTCTTGCAGGACCACCAGGCATGCCAGGCGCTCGGGGAAGCCCTGGTCCTCAGGGTATCAAGGTGAGTGTGGTTCTGCTTCCCTGGACTCTCGCTTCCGTCGATAGCATCCAGTTCCCGTCATAGGTGTAAATTATCCAGGCGGTGATTTTCTTTTATATTTGTAGTTTGGCAAAAACAAACGCTAAAGGGCCCCAGAACATAAAGCAAATCTTAACCAAGCAGCCTTGGGTGCAAGTACATAAATTAATATCATTGAAATATAATCTTGCCATCTCCAACCCCTCTGTTAATCCTGAAGGGGAAAATCCTGTTAGATGACAGACCTACAAAAGCCTCTCATGGATTCAAATGATCCTACTCTCCAGTCATTTCGCACTCATGATTTTCTCTCTGCAGCATTACATGGCTTTCTACTGTTTAGCATCTAAAATACTCCTCCAGTAAGTGGGGTGGTAGCAGTCCATGTTGATTAGTGCTCACATCAAGAGACATTAAACTTGTCTTTCAAAAAATGTCAGGTAACATTGTGCTGAAATTAAAATGTATCATTAAGTGTATTCAATTTATACAATAAATATGCTAAGTATATGCTTCATGCAGAGACAAGTGTTTAATAAAACCTAATTCTAATGGGCGCTATAGTTTCATGATGGGCCCGGATTATTCTTTCTTGCAATATCTTTGTATATCTATTCATCTCTTGTTAAAATGCATTATAAAAATAATCAGTGTAATTACTCATCCTTTGGCATCCCGATTCACTAGGCAAGTGCAAAAATATAAGATACTTGCTTCTCCCCAACCTACTCCCTATTGTGCAAATATTTTTTAAAAAGAACAGAAAAAAAAGAAAGAAAAAACTTAAAAAGAGTTAGAGTAGAAAAAGATTTTTTTTCCCTAAGAAATAAAGAGATCTGATTATAGAATATAAACTGATTTCTCAATTGAAATAAAATGTCTTCTATCCCTTTGTGCATAGGGTGAAAATGGGAAGCCAGGACCCAGTGGCCACAATGGTGAACGTGGACCTCCAGGCCCCCAGGGTCTTCCTGGTCTGGCTGGTGCTGCTGGTGAACCTGGAAGAGACGTAAGTTGCAACTCTTGTGCAATGTTTAACTGGTTAGAGGAATTTTAGTGATTTATTTAAGGAAAAGTCAAATGGACCTTTAATGTCTAAGGGGATAAATATGACCACATAGCCAAGTTCTACTTCTTTGCCTGCAAGAGAGATTCTTCTCTTGCAAGGTATAATAATCTAAAAGGCCACTCCTATTTATCCAACAAATAATATTAATGGAAAAATATGATCTTGAAATTAAACAAATCATTGGAGAAAACCCTGACTTACAATTTTTCCTGGATGAAAATAGTTTATAGTTTTCTTTGATTAGTCTTGTATTATTTCTTTTTCATTTTTGAACTAATATTTTCTATTGACAAAGCATAATTGTATGCATTTACAAACAGATACAATTAGTTGTAGGCTTCCATTATCAGTGCTCAGATGTCTATTACTCAAAACTTACTTAGTAGATCTCTCTAAGTACCTTTTTCAGACTTTTTTTCCTGAGCATCTCTATCCCACCTTGTGAAATTTAGTACGACAGATTGACCACATATCTAGTTGGGTACTGTGATTCTGAGGAGCCAAGCCCCATTGTAATAGTAAAGGTTTCCAGCCCCAACAACCTTTTTGCACCCGCCTAGTTAAGAATGAATTCTTCATATAGTATCGGAGAGTTTCAAGAAACTTGACTCACATTCTCCTTTTTCTTTTAAATCAGGGTAACCCTGGATCAGATGGTCAACCAGGCCGAGATGGATCTCCTGGTAGCAAGGTATAAAGAAATACATGTGCAAGAGTTTTATGAAGCAACTGATTGCTGAATATATGTTTGAATCTGTGAATTTGTTCCCAGGGTGATCGTGGTGAAAATGGCTCTCCTGGGGCCCCTGGTGCTCCTGGTCATCCAGGCCCTGCTGGTCCTGTGGGTCCAGCTGGAAAGAGTGGGGACAGAGGAGAAACGGTGAGTTCTAATAAGCACTGTGTCTCTTTACTTGTCTATTTTCCTCACTAAAGAGATTTGTAGGGAGCAGGTAGGTTGTCAGGTCTGCCAACCAAAGTATCAGCTCTCTTTATCAGTTTTTATGCAAGTCATCCCATAGGCAGATGCGCTAATCAAGGTGTTTCTGGCAGTTGTCAATGAAGAATTCATTACTAACACCTGAAACTGTATTAATCAAACCAACTACCTATTTCCTGGATAAACGCAAGGCTGAATGCAAGAATAACTTCCAGCAACACCATGCATACTGTCATTTATCTCAGTGAAATGAGTAACAGAAACAATACATATCCAATAAGCATAGACAGTACCCTGTGAATTTGCTCACTGGTGTGTTTTCACCTTAGGGCCCTGCTGGTCCTGCTGGTGCTCCTGGTCCTGCTGGTGCCCGAGGTGCTCCCGTAAGTTGATTTCTACTTTTAACTCATTGTATAGTGCAGAAAATATTCTATTTTCTGGCATGTTCAGGAAAAGAAGATGACAAAATTTGTAAACAAACTCTTCTTTGATGATACTGAAAGCAATTCTGATCCCAAAAATTCCTTGGGGCCAAGAACATAAACATCAATTATTGGGATGGTGTGGCATTAGCAGTCAAAAATGAAGACAACCACAAAAGCAATCTTTACTGTTTCATGCAGGAAGTGTCTGTCAGTGGAGATTTCTAGACGATAGAATGCCATAAAGTAGATTGAATCACTGCAAATTCTATTTTGTCTCTCCAGTGTGTATGTGTATATATGACATTAATTTAAATTGTGTTTGTGAAGGGTCCTCAAGGCCCACGTGGTGACAAAGGTGAAACTGGTGAACGTGGTTCTACTGGCATCAAAGGACATCGAGGATTCCCTGGCAACCCAGGCCCCCCTGGCTCTCCAGTAAGTTCATCTGTTGTTAGAAACTTTTTAGAGACTAATAGTAGAAAATTCCATCTCTAAAAGTACATGCTAGAAGATAGCAGAAAGGACCCGAGTGCTTAGTTGAAATAAGAGCATGAAACAATGAGGGAAGTGAAGAAAGAGGACACCATATACCTCACTGATGACCACCACATCACCACATTTCCTGATCTGATACTGAATGTACCTTCCTAAGCCTTTTTGAGAGCTTCACCTATATTTATCTTTCCCTTCTGTCCAGGGTCCTGCTGGTCACCAGGGAGCTGTTGGTAGTCCGGGACCTGCAGGCCCCCGAGTAAGTACCACAGATACACATTGGGAGAGTCACATTTTTTATAATGTTTGCACTACAGGAAGATATTCTAGAATTATGATATCATATAATTTCTTAGGGACCTGCTGGACCCAATGGACCACCTGGCAAAGATGGAACAAGTGGACATCCTGGTCCCATCGGGCCACCAGGGCCTCGAGGCAACAGAGGTGAACGAGGATCTGAGGTGAGACATCACTTATGCATAGGCAGCTTTAATTTGCTGTGCTCTTCACATTTTCAGAAATGCTATATAGCATTTTTCAGCTGAGATACTGAGTTAAGTACAGCATAATCATTTCATCGAGAAAATGAACAATGACTTTAAACAACATTCTTGCCCACAATTAAGACATTTCTCACCACACTATAACAGGGAGAAGTTTTTTCTTATACTTTCATAGCTGTCATATCAAACTGATGACATCTGCTGAATGACCCAAATGAACCATACCAGTGTTGATCTCACACAAGGTCTCATAGCATAACAATTTGCATTTATGTAATACACTTACTTCACAAATAACTTCCGTGACTTCTGTTTTGCTACTGATTCCGTCATTTCTAATACCTCCCTATCCCATACCTCTGGGGTAAGTGTAATAAAAACACATCACCTCTATAAGTTATCTGTGTGACTGTTGACACACAAATAAGTTATCAGCCCAAAGACAGAAAGTTAAAATGCCTGATTTTATCTCCTCTGTTGTGTCAGTGTTAGAGTTGCTTACAACATTTATACAGAAAGAATGATATAGTAAAATTTGTCAAACACTACTGAGTCTTTCAAATTGGAACAGTTTATTACTTGGTAATGAACTATAGTCTTTCCACATGGGTTATCACATGACTACAAAAACAGCCAAGTAAAATTTCATTAATAGACAGTGACACACTGTGTGAATTATTTTTAATGCATTTTCCTGGACTAGTAGCATCATCTTTCATGGGGGACCAAACGAGACTGTATTTCAATGATGTATATTTTCCTACTTTAGGGTTCCCCAGGCCACCCAGGCCAACCAGGTCCTCCTGGACCCCCTGGTGCCCCTGGGCCTTGCTGCGGTGGAGGTGCCGCCATTGCTGGTATTGGAGGCGCTGAAAAATCTGGTTTTGCACCATATTATGGAGACGAACCAATGGATTTTAAAATCAACACTGAAGAGATTATGTCTTCACTCAAATCTGTTAATGGACAAATAGAAAGCCTCATTAGTCCTGATGGTTCCCGCAAAAACCCTGCAAGAAACTGCAGAGACCTGAAATTCTGCCATCCTGAACTCAAGAGTGGTACGTATGGGAATCTCTAACACCCATGACCACAGGTTATAGGGAAAGCAGTTTATATTAGGAATTGTTGGGGCAAGCTTTCACTGTGAGGGGAAAATAATTCGAAGTCATCATAGTATTTAGATAATGTTAATCAAATGTAAGATTGCAATGAAGAAAATCTTTGCAGGTGTAAAATGCGGTGTAAATAACTGCACATTTCAAATACAGGAAAATTTAAGGGCACTTGTAGGAACATTAATACAATAGTAGTTTACTGTTTCTGAACATCACAAACTGATGTAATGCAACAATTTTCATCACTGTTCGTTGGATTAAAATTTATAATTTTATTATAACTTGATCACTACATTATATATTTGTTGCACTGGAATTATTATAAGAAATCTACTTATTAAAATTTTCAGATTTAGAAACAAAATTTCCGAGTACTACATAGAACTGGGATGAATATTGGCATAGTTTGAGATTTTGCATGTATGCTGGGTTAATTATTCCTGAAAAGCAAAGCTATCTTAAGCTTTCAAATGTCTTGACATGGAGTATTGTATTTGCTGAATCATTTCTACAAATTAATTAAAATAGCCATCAGTCAGGTTTAAGTATATCGACACAAATCTGGATTAGACAACTAGCTTGTTAAGCTTCCTTCACATGAAGGAATGGCAGTAAATACTAGGCACCAACCAGAAGCTCTTGACTTAGTAAATCATTGTTATTCAAAACCAAGATAGTCTATTTTATTTTAGTGTTTTCTATAATTATAGATAACTTGCAGATGTAACCTAAAGTTTCTCCATATGCCATATGTAAAGACATTACTGGTCAATATGATGAATGCCTTATCAAATATACAAACATATTCATTCCGCTCCAAATTTCATTACTGGATTTTATAACCAATTCCAGTTGTTCCTTTATTGTGACTCTGCAGGAGAATATTGGGTTGATCCTAACCAAGGCTGTAAGATGGATGCTATCAAAGTATTCTGTAATATGGAGACCGGGGAAACATGCCTAAGCGCCAATCCTTCTGCCGTTCCACTTAAAAACTGGTGGACAGATTCTGGTGCTGAAAAGAAATATGTTTGGTTTGGAGAGACCATGGATGGCGGTTTTCAGGTAAGAAGGACATGGCTTTGAAAATGAGTCGCCTGTAATTACCTGACATGTTTTTTTCCTCCTGTTAATCCCAAAGCTAAATCAGTTAATAAATAGAAAAGAATTCTTTTTAATTAAAAAGAAATGATTTTATATATTCAAATGCCTCTCAGTAACAGCTAAACTAGATTGAATTACTTTGCAAGCACACCTTTCCTTTACTTCTGACGACCTTTACTCTGCCATGAAATAAAAATATATTACTATTGAATTTATATGTATTGCAGAGTATGTATTGCAGTGCCCATGGCAGTATTACATGCAGCCCTTATGTGAAGCTGCAGCTGAAACGTTTGATGAATCTTATTTGTTTCCTGTCACAGTTTAGCTACGGCAACCTGGAACTTCCTGAAGATGTGCTCGAAGTACAGTTGGCATACCTCCGACTGCTGTCCAGCCGGGCCTCCCAGAACATCACGTACCATTGCAAGAACAGCATCGCATACATGGACCAGGCCACTGGGAATGTGAAGAAAGCCCTGAAGCTGATGGGATCAAACGATGGCGAATTCAAGGCTGAAGGAAACAGCAAATTCACATACACAGTTCTAGAAGATGGTTGCACTGTAAGTAGCAGCATCTTTATAAACACAGGTTATGCTGCACTAAACGAATCTAGTTTTATCACTCTCTTTTGGAAAGGAGAAATTAAAATAAGCAGGTGAACAAACAATGACATCTGTTATGAATTATGTAGCATCTACCGATTCATTTCAGGGAGGATTAATTATTACAAAAGTTGAATACATCTTAACTCCTAAAAGGAAATAATTTAAAATTTAAACCCACAACATAGTCTTTATCAGATAACTGGACACATTCTTAAGATTAATAAAGTCTGCAGATTTATTAGATGAACTTAATGTAATATACACACTTTTTATGAAATTTTAAACATTGACTTTGAATCTGTCTCTTGTTATTTACTTTTATGAACAAAGGGGGAGCCCACTGCTAATGTTAACAAATTCCAGTGAGTGACCTATCCACTTCTTAGTAAATCAACTATCTCTCTGGTTACAAAGACCAGAACCGGGCTTCTTGGCGCTGTGACAGGTTTGCCTTCAATTCTGACAAGGACTTTGATTGAGAATATTATTTGGCAACGGGAAGGATTATAACTTGAAATAGAGCAGGTCTCGTATGTACAAAAGACAACATGATATGCTGAGAACATTTTTACAGCAGGAAAATTTTCTAGCTTGATCAGTCAGAGGAACTGTGTAAGTAATTATGCCATTCTAACTTAAGCTTTTTTGCTTTTTTATACAGAAACACACTGGGGAATGGAGCAAAACAGTCTTCCAATACCAGACACGCAAGGCCATGAGACTACCAATTATAGATATTGCACCCTATGATATTGGTGGTCCTGATCAAGAATTTGGTGTGGACGTTGGCCCTGTTTGCTTTTTATAAGCCAAACTCTGTCTGAAATCCCCTGCAAAAATTTCACATTCCGTATGTGTTCCTCTTGTTCTAACCTTGTCAACCAGTACAGGTGACCAACTAAATTCCAGTTATTTATTTCCAAAATTTTTGGAAAAAAAGTATAATTTGACAAAAACAAGAAAGTATGTGTGTTTTTCTTCTGTTCCACCCAATACTGTGCAAATGCTTTTTGTTTTATTTTTTTACCAATTCCAATTTCAAAATGTCTCAATGGTGCTATAATAAATAAACTTCCACACTCTTACAATCACACTGTGTTACATTCTTTGAATCCTAGCCCGTCTGTGGAGCAATGACTAACCAGCGCTAACCAGTAAAAAATAATCTTTCTGAAACAGTCAAACGGGAAATTAGAAAAGACCACCCTATTTCAACTACCTCAAATGGTCAGAAACAGATAAATTCCATGGCTTCCAGAAGACCAAACAGATGTATAAGTGGGCAAAACTTGTGAACATCGTTTGTTAATTTTCTAGGATATTGGTAAAAATATAGCGTAGTGCAATGATTTGCAGTGATATTTTTAAAGCCACAATTATTCTAATCATTGATACCAACTGCTTTTAAAGGTGCTTCTCTCTTTCCTAGTCATTGCTGACGAAGATTACAAATCTTTACGGAGGCTCTAACAACACGTGTTATGGTGCTAATGTACTTTCACTTTTAAAATTCTAGATCAGAGTTGCTGACCTGCATTCAAACCATAGATGAACAGTATCTTTATGTCTCCTTTCAGAAAGATTAGTTGACATGCCATAGGGGAATCTCTCCCTTCATCCTGTAAAAATCAATGACGTGAAACCAATTACAGGGTTGCATTTGTCATAACAACACACAAAATGTTTTGAAATTTCTTTTGTAAACTTGTATGTGGTTGTTGATCTTTCTTTTCCTTACAGACACCTGTAATAAAATATCATAAAGAAACATTCCTGGTTTTCATCACTATTCGTGGATTTGACAAATACATGTCTCTGTCCAGAAACTCATGATTTTCATGAAAAGCAGATTAAATTCTAACTCTTTAGTTTAATAACGCAATGATTTAAGAAGATGAAGTAATATGACATAGGTTCAGGATAGAGAAAATGCCCTGTAGGAAATCCTGCAGAATTGTGGAGGAACCCCTGGGGCAAATGGAAAACAGATCATTCTGCTTGAAATGGTCAGTCCTTAGTCACAGTAAAGTAGCAAACTGATATTTTCCAAGGAGGAATAATTAGAAAATATTCTGATAATTTATTAAAAGTAAAATGGACCTAATAAAACACACTAATATTAAGAACAATCAATACTACATGATTTACTTATTCTGAGGAATCTAGAAAAGTTTAACTCACAGAAAGGGATTAATATTTTGCTTACTAAGATCTGTGGATAGGTGAGAGTGAGGAGATTTTAGTGGAAGCATTTCAGTTAGACAACAGAAATAAGTTCAAGAGATCTACTGTATCAATTGGAGACTATAGATAATAATGCAGTACTATACTCTTGAAAATTGCTCAAAGAGTAGATTTGTGTGTGTGTTCTACCCACACAAAAATGAGTACGTGAATTCAGGCATATATTAATTAACTCGTTAGCCATTCACAATGTATACCTATTTCAAAATATCACATTCTACATGCTGAGTACATACAACTTTTATTTGTTAATTAAAAGCAGAAACTATGTTAAAAATAAAATTAAAAATTAATTAAAAATACAACCTGTACTAAAATATTTAAAATAATGACAAAATAAAGCATTTTCTACCATCCTTACCTTCACACTGCCACACTGACCTCTTGGGCCCGTCTCTTCTTCACTACAAATTTCTTACTGGGTTATCACAAACAAAAATAGTAGCCTTGTACACTTGGCTTTAGAATCTGAAATTTATTTACACTATATGACTGAGAAAATAATGCTTTCAAAATTAAAAATTCCATCATGCAAACATCAAGTCTTGGTAAACTTGTGCTCCAACCTAAAGGCAACCAATATTAATAGTCTCTGGTGCACCTTTCCAGAGATATTTTACTTATACGAAAAGTATAAGTAAAATATATCTTTACATTATATTGTAATAGTATATTGACATAAAATTCTAAAATTTTAGAATCTTAACATATATATGTTATATATGCATATATAACATATATATGTTATATATGCATCTTAAACACATATATGTTATATATATTATATATATATTTAACACACTGTACATCATTGATACATAATATTCAGCTTATTTAATAGAGTTATTTTTTTATTTCTTGCCCACTTGTTCATTTAGTCACTAAAACCCCATCTCACTGCAAGGACTTTACAGTCCAGTGAACCCTGTTGGAGATTAGAAACCAACAGACCAGCGACCCCGGCTTCCCTGACTCTCATTGAGTTGGTATGTAGACATGACCCGATTTTGGTAAATCAAAATACACACCTGCAAAATTTCAACCTGGAGATGGTTGTGTCAGTTCATAGTACCACAGACTTCATGCCTTGCTATACCACAGATCTGTTGTTTGACATTTTTAGAGGTCAAAAGTTAAGGTGCCAAGCAGGTCATGCCCCCTTTGAGAGACTCTAGGAAGGAACTGTGCTCTTTTTTTCCCCAGGCTGTAGTGCCATCCAGATGCTAGGTTCATGCCGCTTCCCTTTGCAAAGCCTGCAATATTTGGTCAAACGTTTTCCATGATGCTTCACCCTGACATTGGCTCACCGTGCCTTTTTCTGAAGACCTTTATGATAATGGAACACCCAATGAATATTTATAATAATCACCCCATTTCAAGATCAACAGATAGGCAACCTCAATTCCAGTCTGCAACCTTAATTCCTTCCTGCTTCATGCAATATAATCTATTCACAGGTTTCAGGAGTTAGATTGCGGACACATTAAGGGAGGTGTTTTTCTATCTACTGTGACAGGGATGCCAAATAAAGTAAAAAGGATAAAACCATTTTCGTGGTGGTCACAGCTGCATCTGGGGCAACTATAGCCATATTTCAAAAGAAGTATGGTCGCTTGTGCCATAAATGGCACCAGTATCTAGTGTTTATGGTAGTTTCAGTAGGATGTTTCTGAAGTATGATTTTAAAGAGGGCCCTGAACATAGACATTCACTTCAGTTTTTATTATTTTCTAATCTTCGATGCTGTAGTTTTCTCTGAGTTCCCCTGAACTTTAGATAAAGAGTATTAATTACATTTTTACCTTCATGAGCAAAACTTGGTCTAGACTGAGAGCTAAGTATCTCAGTGAGGCCAGCAAGTGTTAAATTCCAAGATGGAAAGCAGCAGAAACTCAAAATATTGAACAAATGTTTTTACTAGTTAGAACTTAGAATACCTATCTTGTATGGAGTGATGAGAATTTTGAAGTGATTGAAAATAGGATTCATTATCTATGACCCAAGGGGATGTCCTGCACTTTGAGGTCAAAGTCAGGATGAGTGGCCTCCACTACATGACATTGTTTCAGTTTCATGAGAAATTTCAGGACTGTGTTAGAATACGGTTGCTTTTACTGGTAGTGTGCAGAAATAGAATTTGCATTGAAACCCTAACATTTTGGCTCAAAGAACAGAAGGAAATATTTGCCCTTTCTCTGGCTGAGTTAAAATATATTGTTTTTATGGAAAGAAATCAATTTCTTTACTAAATGTTTGAGATAAAAAACTAATATAAATCTTCACTCTACAGATCACCGAACTCCAACAGAATCCTAAATAAATTTTCTAACTCTCTATTTGATGCCTCTATGACTGAGGTAGATAGCAGGACTCAGGGATTTTTAATAAAGGTTGTTAAGAATTCTCTTTAAATGTTCCTGCTTCACGTTGTGTCTCTTGCTCTAGGGTCCCTTTAAAAATGGACTCCTAATCCCTGCCTGGAACTATTTTTACTTTTATTAAAATGTAAGATATGTACAAGAAAAGGTCTAGTCTCCCTATACTTCATTTCCACCACTGCTTCTTGTCTCCAAGCATGAACTACGACCAGATCCCAGAATGCTACCAGAGGGAATAATTCAAAGGTCAACCTTAAGAAGTGACTTGCAAATGAAAAGAATGGAAGAAATTAATGTACATTGTCTAAATTCTAGGCAATATGTGTAGGAATTCTGAAATACTAAACAAAGGAAAATTAAGCAATTTGGAAAATGTTATTAATATGTGAATGTAACAACAAATTCTAGGAATAATTATTAACTTGGTTGATTTGCTGAACCCAGGCCTCAGAAGTAGCCCAAAATAAATCAATTTAGACATCACAAACTTCCTGGCAAAGCAAGAATACAAGGCAAAATTTGAGAGCTGGAGTTGTGGCAATGAATTTATCATATATGACATAACCATTCAGCTTCTAAATGGATTCTGGAGGCAGACCACTAAGGTCTTGAGAGACCCTTGGTGAGGTGTGAGCCAGCACCTCATTGTAAGTGTATCTATAGTCTTGGAAATAAAAAAAATCCCTCTGAAAGAAGCTTCTTGATTTCAATGGAGATGACAAGATCCTAGTAAGTGAAGAACAGAGGGCAGCACTAAACTACCAAAAAAAGCTGAAAATGGTAATTGCAGGAAACTACAGTACTTCAAGATAAAAAACAAATGGCCTAACTCACAATTATCTCTGAGTGTGGCCAAGCGGCAGAGGTCCTACTACACAGGTGCTGGTAAGTGGTCCATCTGGAGGAGTCATGCACAGCTTTCCTATAAACAATAATGACCAGAAAGATCCAGTTCAAGAGACAGACCTTACTTCCGCATGCACACAGGTCTGAAGACTCACCCAGGTCCAAATTATGAACGAAATGGCTCACAGACCCAGCGTTCTTAAATAAAGGACATATTCATCCCATGAAGGGGCCTTTCTCTATGCTTTGCACAAAATCTGCTATAATAGCACCTCAACTAATGAGCAATTTAGTATGGGTCAAGAATTCTAGTCTCTTTAAACTTAATGTATTACTCCCTTTAATTCTGTAAGGAGCTAGTCACTTTAGAAAGAGGAAGGAAGGAAGAAAGGAAGGAAGGAAGGAAATTAGGAATGAAGGAAGGAAGTTAGGAAGGAAGTTAGGGAGGAAGGAAGGAAAGAAGGATAGAAGGAAGGAAGGAAGGAAATTAGGAAGGAAGGAAGGAAATTGGGAAGTTAGGAAGGAAGTTAGGGAGGAAGGAAGGAAAGAAGGATAGAAGGAAGGAAGGAAGGGAGGAAGAAAATTAGGAAGGAAGTTAGGAAGGAAGAAAGGAAGGAAAGAAG